ATCAGCAGCCCAAGCTCCCAAAGTCCCTTAGTGCTTAAATAATTCATGACAGACTGCTGTGGAGCAATAAGGGAACCCTCTGTAGCCTCGGCTCTCACTCCGTAGAGGACATAGGCCAAGGCTCTCAAAACTCATTAGCTCTTGCCACAGTAGTAGCACACAGAGCCGGCAGAGACAACTTCCCTGACCTATAGTCTATCTCCCAGCAAGTGGACTGAAAAACACATACAGGCAGACAGGAGGGATCATCCATCAGCCAGTCTACCTGACTGGGCCAGGCATGTGCCAGGCACCAGGAATACTATGGTGAAGAGAACAGTCGTGGCCTATCATCAGGAAGCTAGCTAGCCTGGGTGGTATCTTATTCATAGCAAACCCTATCCCTGGGCAGCCACATGGGGAGTACCCCAAAACGTATGCGCTGAACTAATGAAAAGTAGGAGCAATCTAGCAGAGTGATCAAGAGTGTGGGCTCTAGGGTCTGGGTTCTGAGTTTGAATCTTGGTTCCACCACTTACTAAATTACTTAATTTCCCTGACCCTCAGTTACCTGATCCATAAAATGGGGATGAACATAGTGATAACCTCACAGAACTGTATGTAAAGTTCTTAGCATGGTGCTTAGCACAAGGTGATCATTGATTAAATGTTCATTGCTATTACTACTACTAGTACTGTCTGGTGAAGAAGATAGACATTAAGTAAGTAAATTAGTACAAGCAATTAAATCCCTGTGAAGCTGGCAAGGATGAGAAAACAGGAATGTGTATCAGTGAGATACAATTTCAGGAGTTCAACAAGGCTTCTTGGAAAAAGTTAAGTGTGAACTGAAGCCCTGAAGGATGAGTGGCTAAGTCAAAAGAGGTGTGAGGGCTTTTAGAAAGAGGGAGCAGCATGTGCAGGGCCTCCGTGCTGGAAACGTGTCATGATTGAAGTGACAGAAGCAATTCAGAAGATTCTAAACCCAGCAAGCAAGGAAGCAAGTGAGAGGAACTGAGGCCCAGAGGTGGGCATGGCGGGTCCTGTAGAGCCTTGCTTGCTACTGTGACACTATCAGAGCATGCTCTGACTTCACCACCAGACCCCGCACCCCCACTGAAAGGACCACTCACCAAGAATGTAGACTTCACCATCGGGGGATACTGTGGGGAAGCAAAAAGGCCCTTAGCAACTGAGCACCCCACTCCCAGAATTTTCCTAGTGCCCCACCCCCCACAAGAGGAGAAATGACCTGGGAGCCTATAGGAGAGGGACTCATACCCCCAGCCCTCTGTGGCACCTTCTTCCAGTGTAAAATCCCGCGAGACCGGCACTATCTGGTCCAAAGAGACATCGTCCCCGGTAATGGCCATCCTCCGGTGCGTGTAGAGGAAGAGACTAAGGGCAGGAAGCAGAGGTGAGGAAAGGGCCTGACGGCCAGCCCTCAGGCCTGCACAGCTGTGCTGGTGGTGGCCAGCTATGCACAATCCTCATGCCTTCTCTGTCTGCGGTACCTATTAGAAACTGCAATTTATGGAGAGGTCGTCAAAGCTGAACATGGATCATTTTGAGGAGCCTCTGCTTTGTTAGTAGAACTCGAGCTTGATCTATCCATTGCGTATTTTAACACTGCCTGTGACAGAAACAGTGCAACCTTATCCACCCCCTTCCCTCCCTGAACCCCAGTTTCTCTATCTGTAAAGGGAGGGTAGTGGACTAGAAAATGTCTAAGGCCCCTTCCTCCCAGCTCTGAGACCCGGAGGTTCACTTGTTGGCAAAGAGACCTTTGACAAGTACTAGTATTCTCTCTGCATAGTGTGTGGGTGTTACTGAGCCCTTTTTATGTGCTTCCGAGTGTTTTACACACTTTACATGTAACAGCTCACTTTAGTCTGGATAAACAGGTGCAGAGGAGTACAACACCTTGCTCGAGACTGTGTGGCCTGAAAGTAACAAAGCCTGGGTTTGAACCCAGACAGTCAGGCCACGAGACTCAAGATCTGGGCCTGTGTGTTAAAATGCCTCTTCTTCAGAAGCCTCCTCATCAAATGTTGAGGATTATATGAGTTAATACATCTAAAGGTCTTAGGATACAGTATTCCAAAATTATTAACTATCATTATTATACTTATTCTAGAAGACTCAGACTGTGCCCCAGAGGGATGCTAGAAGTCCAACTGGAGGGTACCATGAAGAATAACCCCATGGCCCAGACAGGCAAGGACCAAACGTCCCACTTACGCGTGTTCTTGGCCTCCACGTTCCAGGCGGTAGCGCACAAGCCCCAGGAGACGGCTCTGCCTGCTGTCTCCCTCACACAGCACACCTTGCACTGCCTGCTGCTCAGGGTCAAGGGAAAACAAAGGAAACGAAACAGAAGGCCAGAGCTTGCCCAACCCAGCCCCCTGCACCTTCCCTGCTTTGCCCTGGCACACACAGATTCACTGTGTGACCTTAGGCAAGTTGCTTCACCTCTCTGAGCCTTCCCCATCTGTGAAACAGGGATAATAAATCCCAGCTTCACAGGTGGTTGGAAGAAGACTCCAGTACTGAGTAAGGATTTAGTAAATACTGTTTTCCTTCTCCCCTGATGGCTCAGAGAGAGGGAGAAGAGCAAAAAGACACAGAGACACATAGACAAGTAGGCATCTTCTATTCTACTTCCCAAGACAGGCAGGCCCTGGGGCTGGGATCTCAGCACTGGGAAGGATATGATGATGCAGTATTCTCCCTCAGCCAGAGTCTCCTGGATGGCCACAGACTGGTCCATGCTGGCCCCTGCTGAGTAGACACATGCTGAGGGGTATAGATGGGAGCCCCCTTTACTCAACAAGTAAGCCAGGAGGTGATGGGGCTGCTTCAGAGGGCCGAGGGGCAGGGAGGAGGGGCCCTTGTGCAGTGAGAATGACCGTCCTACCTAGGATGGGCTTTGTCACGTTTATAAGAAGAGGGGTTGTCTCTTCGCCCCTGGTGGGATGTTCAGTTTGGTGTCCCACCTTTTGTCTGGAAGGGCATCCAGTTGTTCCCTAGAGGGGTTCAGTCTATTTGTGGGAAGTGGGGTCCCTGGTCCCATTAATGGAGAGGGGGACACACAGTCCCACTGCTCCTAAGATGAGGCTCTGCCTCCCTTTCAGGGAGCAGTGTGAGTCCTGCTGGCCCGTCTTTGGGAGCTGGCAGTGCTGTGTCTACGTGGGGTTAGGGGAAGCATCCTGTTACTCTCAGGAAGGGAGGGGCTCGTCCTGGACAAGGCTCCCAGTCCTGTCCCACTTTCCTTGGAAACAGGAAAAGTGTCCCATTGCCCCTTGGCCCTCAACCCCACCCAGTAGGCCCCATTGCATCAGCCGCAGGCCAGGGAGGTGTCTGGTTCTGGCAGCACGGGACAGGGGTCTCAGCCCACAGCTTGCCCACAACCTCCTGCCCAAGCTCTGCCCTGGGCTCCTGCTCCCAGCCCACTGTCATTGCCGCCTACCTCCTGAGCTGTCACCGCTGGGTGTGCAGGACACCGTGGCCCTGGGCCTGCCAGTGACTACGTTTCCCAGCAGCCCTAGCGTGCCCGATGGTCACCCAGCCTGCGAGTCCCAGCATGCCTGCGTCAATCACAGCGGTGGTCTCGCCACTCCCATTAACCCCTTAGGGCCTGGGGTGCGCTGGCTCCCTATTCCTGAAAGGTTTTCCTAATAAATGCCCTAACTTCCACCCCTGAGCCTCTAAGTCACTAGGCCAGATTTCCCCCCTCCCCCAGGGCTCGGAAGGAAGATGGCCACGGGTGCCTTAGAGACAAAACAATGCATTTTTATTTGCTCCTCCATTCCGTTCTTAATTCCTCTCATCCAGGTGGGCCAACTCTGGCCTCTGTTGGAACTCTTCCTCCCCAGATAACTACCCTGCCCTAGCTTAAAGGGGAACAACACTATGAAGGACCATTACCCCCAGTTTCCAGCTGGAGAAACTGAGGCTCAGAGAACTGATGCAATTTTGCCAAGGCCCTGCAGCTAGCCAGTGGCAAAATTGGGCCTCGCCTGCAAGTCTTGAGTTCAGTTCTGTGCCTTTGACATTGCCACACACCGAGGTATTTCCCCCTTAGCCTCACGTGTGTGATGTGTGCATGATGAACAGCACCCTGCCCTGCTTGCTTCGTGGCGCTGTGTGGGGATAATGGACGTGAACACACACTGTCAGTGGTGTGACGTGGTGCCTGTGCAGACCGTGCTGAGACCCAGTCCTCTCCGCCTCCTCCTGCAGAAATGGTGTCCTTTGCTGTTCTCAAGCCTCTTCCCCTGGTTCCCCCGGTCACATTCACTTGGGCAGGGCCTTCCTCCTTTTGGGCCTTGATTTCCCCATTGAAAATGAGGAGTTTGCTCCAGGTGGACAGAAAGGGCCAGCTCAGATAAGGGAGTCCAGGACTGGTCTCTCTCAGCCTCTTGGCTACTTCACTAAGCTGTGACCTCGCTGAAGACAGGGCTACGCCTTTTCCTCACCACCCCAGCTCTCAGAATGTGTTGATTGAATTAATGATTTAATGGACGAAGTATCTTAATGAATATACCTGCTCTCCAGTTTGACCCAAACTGAAGTGTCAGTGCTGGCGAAGGAGTGACCTCTGTGACTTCTAGCCAGTGCTCCCTCTCCCCTCCCTAAGCTGGAAGCTGCCACCCCAGTGACAAGTCCAACTCTGTCCATGTAAACCGCCTCCAGGAACGGGCCACCTTCCTCCAACCTCCTCATCTTCCAGGAAACACCCACAGCACAAATAGAACTCAAGTTTATTTGAATTTGGTGTCAAAGTCATGTGGGGGATGAGAGAAAAGGGGATTGATTTGTACCCTTGGAGATAAAAGGGGTGGACCTCACTGCAGGAAAGCAGGGGAACCCAAATTCTAGCCCCACTCTTAATGTCAAAGGCTGGGGAGGAGGGTCTGGGAAGAGTGGATGGGGCTGGACACGTTTTGCAATCTGTCCCTGCAGGACTTTGGGGTCCTCCCACTTTATGGGGTCAGGGGTGGAGAAACATTTGTTCTGTTCTATTTTTCCAGAAAAACTCCGGCCTCTCCTTGGGATTGGGGCTGAGGCCCTGCCACCTTGGAGGGCACCACAGTCAGGTCCAGGTGCTGAGGGGCAGGAGGGAGGAGCCTCGAGCCCATAGCTTGGACTTGATAAACCCCTTTCACTAAAGATGCAGTTACAGGAATCAGAGCTGGGGGTGGGGCCAGGGACTTGCCAGGCCTGCAGGGTCTTTCTGGCTGCTGCTCCCTGATTCAGCTGGGCCAGCTAAGGGAATGGGAATGGGAGCAGGGCAGAGTGGAGGAGGAGCAGCAGCATGGCCCCAGCCAGGGAGCAGAGCAGGGGACTCCTGGTGGCTCCTGAGGTTGCCCGGTTGAAGTGAAGGTTCCCATCCAGCTGCAGGCAGCTGCCTGAAGCTGACGCTTGGCAGCACTCCTGAGAGCAGGCCTGAGCCATGGCCCCATGACACCTGTAGATACTTGACGCACAGGCCTGGCTGCAACCTGCAGTGTAGCCTGAGCTGGACCGGTTCAGCTGCAAGGAGAGATGAGACCATTCATCCTCCCCTTGCCTCTCTCTCCTACTCACAGAAGCAGAAAGTGTTAAGTAGGCCATGGCTAAGCTGAACCTTCCTGGGCCCCCAGCTCCCTCCCCATGAGGTCAGACAGCCAGTCCCCAGAGAACATGCAGGGTGATCAGAACCAAGGGGGCATGTCCAGCAGACTTGGGAAATTCCAGCTGCTGCCCTGGATTAGGCATAATGCAGAGCAGAGAGGGTCAAGCATGCTAGACCCCAAGCAGCCTAACTCCCAGCAGGTTCAGCTCCAGCCAGATTTGGCTGCTGACCTACTGAGTCCAGGCAGAAGGAGAAAGGCCTGCATTTATGAAGGAGAACAGCACCCCAATCCTTGGAGCACGCCAGGGGCCCACCTCACAGAAGTCCAAGCCCTTAGGGCACATGGCCACAGCTTTCTGCCCTTTGAAGCACTCACTGCCTAGGCAGGAGAAGGTGGCACAGACTTTCTCCTGGAAGAGAAAGTGGAGGGGAGGGGAGGGGTAGAGGTCACTCTTCAGACTGGACAGGGAATGAATGAGAGAGGCAATGGAGCCCCACTATGCCTGTCCCACTGGCCCCAGCCACCACACGCAGTCCATCCCTCCCTCTACCTCCTAGAGCAGGTAGGTGTGAATGAGACACTCACATTTCTGTTGGGGGCTGGTGGAGTGGGGACCAACTTGTCCTCTGGGACAATCAGGTGGTCTAGATCTGGGAGCAGAGCAGGATTGCCCAGGGAAGTGCTGTGACACCTCCACTTGGGACAATTCTGTGAAGTCCCAGCCCCAACCCTGATGGAGGGCATCTTGTGTGAGGACAATCCCAACCTGAAACTTCCCCCTTTGCTGCCACTCTAGACAAGCACAGGAGACTGTTTTGGCTGCCTTGGAGCTTGGTGAGAGGGGGCACTGGCCAAGCTGGGCTGGGGAAAGGTGGAGGCGTTGGCAAGGGGAATCTGGGAGCACTGAAGGTAGAAAGCTTGAACTTGGGGAGTTGATGAATGGGGTAGACCTCAAAGCTAAGGATCAGCCTGACAAGGTTTAGTGGTTAGGGTGTTGGTAGGGATGGGGGAGTTGATGAAAACTGAGCTCAGCTTTGAGGAACTACCAAGGGTTGAGGTTGAGTTGGGGGGTAACAGATGGGCAAGGCTCAGGGCTAGGGAGAGGGGGTGGGGCTAAGAGCTTACGGGGCAGGGGAGGGGGGGTGCCCATGGGAGCAGGAGTCAGAGCAGGGCTCTGAGGTGGAGGGCCATGGACAAGGGGCTCGAAGCTGCAGGCTTGTGGGACTGTCTTACCCAAGGCCAACTCATTGAGCGCCAGGCAGTGTGGGCCATCGCTGCAGCACTGCAGAGAGCAGGGGCTTGGGCTGGGAGCAGAGGTGCTGGCCAGCTGGCAAGGGCTGAGACCAGTTTCATATCCCCTCTCACAGCTGTGGCTGCACCGGGCCATGTAGTGGGAAGTGTTGAGTTGAATCAACTAGATAGAGAGAGTGCCAGGAAGTCCGGGAGGATGAGGATGGGGGGGACACAGCCAGTCCTGGGCTGTAGCTCAGCCTCTCCCAGCATCTCAAACGCTGACTCCTCTCCCTCCCAAATCAGTGTCTCTCTCCGGGCATCTCAAACGCTGACTCCTCTCCCTCCCAAATCAGTGTCTCTCTCCCAGCACCTTCCTGTATGTACTTGCACATCAGCCCTCCTTCCAGTGGCCCCATTGCCAACCCCTCATGGTAGCGCCCCACCCCCCACTGCCTCCTGGGGCTCCACAGCAGCCCCACCCCGCACCTCACAGTGGTGCTGCCCAGGTTCGCACTCTGCCATTTGGTTGGAGAACTTTGCCTCCTGGTAGCACATCTCTCCGAAGCAGTGGAAGCTGTGGCATGTCTGTGGAAGGGTTCAAACACTGTGGCCTCATTCCCACACATGAAGCAGCTGGGAGGCTCTCTCCTCCTTCACAGCCTGCTTACCTGCACAGGAGCAGGGGTCAGCTGACTTCTGACTGGGTTCTGGACTATCAGCGAGACCAGCAGGAGGACTGGTAAAAGGGAAAGGGACGAGGGGACTACTGCAAGGAGTAACCAGCTGAAGGATCACGGGTCAAGGAAAGGTCATGCAGTGGTTAAGTGGAAGAGGTCATGAGGCCAAGGCAAAGAAGGGGCAGTCCCAGGGTTAGGTTGGGTCACAGCATCCAGGAAAGGCTGGAATCCCTGGGCCCAGGACAGCTACCTCCCAGCAGAACAGCCCTAGGGCTACTATTGGCCAGAGACATCTTCTGTTGAGATGCTGCAGGAGCCGGAGAGAGTGCAGGACCAGTCCTGGGCAGCCCAGATGAGAGCTACAAAGAGAGAGTCCCATTGTTGTACTGCACAGATGAATAAACCGAGGCTGGGGAACAGTGGAAGCCAACCTGTGGGGGGAAAGGGATCCCGGGGGGCTGAGCTTTTGTTTCCCGAAAGTCATGCTGTCAGTGACATTGATGCAGGTACAACAGGACCTGCAGCCTGGTAACAGCCCCACTGAGAGTGAATGTTGTTGTTGGCATAGCAACAGTAGCATCCCAGAGAGACAGAGCTGGAACAGGTGCAGTGACAGGAAATAGACATCCAGTGCCATTGCCACTGATCTGGTCTCATTTGACTCCAACGGTGCTGGGGCTCGGGGTGGGGATGGTAGGCTACCGCAGAACCCAGAGGGTCAGAAATGAGGGCTCACCTTGACCAGGTTCTTCAGGTTCGAATTCCACCCTGTTCCTAAATCAGAGCTGAGCGAAGGCCAGGAGACAGCTCTCAGAAACCTGGATATCTGGATCCTGGCTCTGCCTCCCCCAGTACAGAGGGGTCAGACCTATAAGGGTCTGCAAAGCTCAAGTTCAGGTTTCTCCATGCAAAGCAGAAAACTGGTGGAGATGAGAGAGGGGGCCATTACTCCCATCTTCTCTCCCAACCCTGGGAGGCTGAGCACAGTCCAGCCCCCAACATTCCCAGGGCTAACTGGGCATGTTTCCTGTCCTCGTGGCTATAGTCCTTCGTCAGGTCAGCACTCGGATCTGTCTCTCAGCTGACAGCTGAAGCTAGGACCCACATTGGGCGGGGACCCTTCCAGTAGTAGTCTTTAATGCATCAGTGGGGTGGTGCTCAGGATTCGGGGGGCTGAGGTGAGGCAGGATAGGGACCCTTGACAATAAGGGCCTCTTCTTTCTCCACCTCACCCCTTCTTACCACCAGGAGCCTCAGCCCTCCCGGTGTTCCCTTGTTTCCAATACTATACACTTAAGAAGCTGTTCTCATCCAGGCAGCACCTGCACAGTGGGACTTCCATCCCCAGAGGTGAACAAGAGAAGGGCCCAAAGGTTCTACCCAGGTCCCTGTGTCCCTGTGAAAGGAAGAGCCCAGGCCTCCCCCACAAGCTCCTTCTTCCTCCTCCTCCCTGGTACAGGTAGATGAGGCTACAAGTGCAGTCCAGGAGTGTGAGGGGGCCATACAGATACTCAAAAGCATCAGAAAGCCAGCAAAGCCTGGATGGTTACCTCCTAGTCTGTATTAGTTCTGACTCCTTGCATATCTACTTTAGCTGGTGCTCTGCTCCATGGCTCCAGAGAATATTCCCAGTATTCCCCGTGCCCCACCCCCTCCCAGCTGTTGACCTACCTGCCGCCAGCAGGTGTGGAGCGCAGCGAGCCTGTGTGCATGAGTCTGGGAGGCTGCAAGCGCAGCCCCTGGACACTGGTGGCTGCCCCTCCTCCCCTCCGATCATTGGCCAGCTCTGGGAATTCTCTCTGATGTTGCTGCCACTGGGGACACACAAGGGCCACAGGCAAAAGAAAGAAGCACAGCTGAAGCCCAGGCTGTAGCAGGAGGGAGACAGTAAAACCAACTGGCAGCTTGGGCAGATCAAAGGACCCCCATCCCAACATCCCAGTGGGACGGGCCTGGCAGGTGGAAGGGGCTCTCAGAAGAGAGCAGAGTGAGGGGAAGGCAGTGTCCTCCCAGAGCCCACCTGGAATGGGAGAACTGGCTGATGGAAGGGCCAATGTGTGGGGCGAGGTCACAGGCCCATCCCCACCACGGGAACTTTGAGGTGAGGCTGCTGGCAGGACTCAATGAGTGAGGGGAGAGGTAGCTATCACCCCAAGGATTAAAAAGAAAATGCAGAAGAGGGACATCTCAGAACTTGGTCCCTCACCTCCTCAACACACCGGTTACCTTTAGGGTGTCCCTTTTGTAGAAATTTCCAGTACAAGCTGACCCCATGTGGAGAACAGGAGGAAAGTGGAGGAAGGGATGACCAGTTGAGACTGGACACAGATTTATTCCCCTTCCTCTCAGGGGTGGGGAATGAGGAGGCTCTTGCTCCAGGGAGGTTCCTCCCAGGGTCCATCTCAGGTCCAGCAGGATCAGGTCCAGTCTGGGGGTCACTCCCAGGAACAACTTCCCAGATGCTTCCTGCCTGGGCTGGGAGGGGCAGGCAGAGTCCTGCCGCTTCTACAATGGGGTGGCTTTCCTCCTTGAAGAGTGAGCCAAATCACCCATTCTCAGCCGGAAACACCCTGGCAGAGGGTCAGACTCCGTATCTATTGGAGAGATTCTTATACTTATGACTCAGGAACCAAGGATGGACTTCTGGAGATTCATGAACCCCTATAACTGTGTGCAGAAATATCTATGCATGTGTATTCTCCTAGGGAGAAAGTCCAGTTATCTTTGTATTTTCAGTGGAAGCCCTGATCCTAAAAAGATCAAGAACTACTGATTGAAACCAAGAAAAAGCAACACTCTACTCCTTCCCCAGCCTGATCAGTGGGCTCAGCTGAAATCCAGATCTTCCAACAGCAGACCCCCTGCAGTCCAGACTTGCAGGAGTCACCTCTGGGGAAAACCACTTCTGATGCCGACTTTGCCTGAGACTCTTTAGTAGCTCTGTGCCCCTCAGAGCTGGACGGAGTTGGCCACGAGACTCCAATTGCCTGCCCACAAGGTTGTTAATGAGCCTCCTTGCCTCTGGTTCTGCTCTCACCATTTCACCTCCGCTTACTTCTCAAGGTTTGCTAACCTAGGTATGTCTGGAACACAGAAGGCAGTAGAAAAACACTTGGCTGCATATAACAAGTGAAGGAAAGGAGTTGTCGCTGGGGCAGGGAAACCCCAGGGCTCCTCCAGACCGCTCTGGTGCATGGTTCCCAGGACGACTGCACTTATCTGGACAAGGGTGCTAGAGGACCCCTCAGAACCCAGGCCCATCACCTCCCACACTGTAAAGAAGAAAAGCAAGGCCTTGGGATGCTGTCCCAGCGCTGGAGGCCTGGGCACCCACTCCTACAGAGGGCCCTGACAGCTGCGTTCCTTGGGAGTTGCTGCTGTGCTCCAACGAGCAGCCTGCAGGGAGGTCTCCTTCCCGTATTTCTCACTTCCAGGGCTTGTTGAACTCTTTTCCCCAATGGCCATGTCCCCTTGCACCTCGGGCTGGTTTTCGGTAATCAGTTTCTAGTTGGCTCAATTAGGTTTAATTATCCACTCACTCTGCTTCAGGAGCTCAGGCCCTGAAGAGGTTGTCCTACCGGAATTTTATGCGGCTGAAGGAGCCACAGCACGAGGCAGGTGAGGAGCCCGAGGGATGGGTTGAATGAGGAAGGAGAATGCCAGCCCAGAGTGAAGTGCCACAGGTGCAGGGGTGGTGCAACCGTGCTACCAGGGAGGTGACAAGGGCGACAGGTGTGCGGGGGAGGGCCAGCTCTGTAATTACACCTGTATTACAGAGAGTCTCAGTGCAACTGAGGGGCAACTGGGGCCTCTGGAGCCTGTTCTGGGGCAGGCAGTGTTGCCAGTGAGCAGACTGGAGCTCCCATGGCTCTCCTCATTCTCTCCATTGGGGATACCAGACTTAGCCCCTGTGGCAGGGGCTCAACTCCACCCAAATCTTGGCTTCCTGGGCTTGGAGAACACAAGAATATTAATAGGAATCTTGCAGAAGAAACAGGGTCACCAGACTCATGTTCTGAACCAGCAAGCAGGTGAAGTCACTGCTGTCCCAGTTCCACGGTATGCCAGGCCGCTGAGGTGTGGGGATGGGCAGGGCTGCAGGCCCTTTCCCCAGCAGCCCCACTCCTCTAGGCAAATAAAAAAGGAAACCTCGGGGCCAACATCATTGTCCTTAGCAGAGGCCCTGGCTCCCCCTCCCCCTCTTCCCCCAGCGTGTGCACGAATGGCTGACTCATAAGGGCAGGGCGTATCCTGGGGTGATGCTCCTTTGAGGAAGTGAGGAAGAGGTCAGGTCAGATACACTGACAGCATCTGTACCTGACGGGTGCTCATTAAACCTTAGTTGCTACTGAAGTTGATGAGGAAGGTGTAGGGAGGAGTTAGGAGCTCAAGGACTGAGTTAGTCCGTGATCCAGGACTTCAGACCAATCACATTCAGAAGAAGGGCTGGTTTTATTTTCTGAATTTTTTTTAATATAAAACAAAGATAAACACATTTCAACCCCACAATCTGCCAGCATGCCTTGTGTCTACAGGAAGCACGCCAGACCGTAAGACTAGCAGAGTCTTCAGGCGCACTTGGTTGGGAGAATAGAAAAAGCAAATCTGGGGGAAGCCTGGGCAAGCCCGAGAGCTGAAGTTCGCTCCTGAACACTAGAGCAGTCCTTGTCTTTTCAGATCCTCGTATGTCTTCTTATTCACAACATTCCCACTGGAGTCTTCATACTCTTCCTGGAAAAGATGAGCACACTGTTAGCTAGGCCTCCTGGGAGAAACGGCTGGAAACAATGTCTGGTGCCCTAGCGCACCCTGGCAGGGACCCCTGGCATTTACCCAAGACAGCCCTTCCCAGCTGGGGCTCTGGATGACAAGCCAGCCCACTGCCCCAAGACATCACTGTGTGTACTGAACCAACTTCTCTCCTAGGGATCCAGAATGGTACCGATCATGACCCATCCTTGAGAGAGATGAGAAAATCATTCACTCCAATCACTTCCTATGTTTCAGATGAGGAACACCAACTGAGAAAGGCTGACCTACGACAATAGTTCAAAAAGTTCCCAAGAACCCTGGTTTCTGCCCCCGAAGCCACTGCAGGTAAGCAGGGTGGAAGGAGGCCAAGCAGGCCAAGCTTCCCGACTCCCGGAGCAGTCCTGCTTTATTCTCTCCCGTGCACTGCAGCGCTAGGTGCCGGTGTGAAGAGGGCGCCGCTACGAACACAGGCAACCACTGATCTGAAAGGAAAAAGCTGCTCCCGTCCCTCGTACACCTGACACCCTTATCTCTGAAATCTGATGCTCAGGGTGACGATCTCAAGACCAAAAAGGATGCCTCCCCACCTCATGCGAGGACCATCTCTCACGAGATGCTACCCTCTAAGTACGTCTAATGTATGAGACATGGACTCTCAGCCTCTCGGCTTACGCAGCACCGCGGCAGGACAAGACACTGGGTGCTCCTGCTGGCCACTTCAGAATTTCAGGAGGGAATACCACCTGTCTAAAGACGCAGATTTAAAGTCTGACAAATTTAGTTATTACAAATAAGTTAGGCTTACACGCCAAGAGTCAATTTTTAGATACTGTTACATCATACTCTACACCAGTGGTTCTCAACCGGTGCGCTGCAAGAATTTTTAAAACATGCAATACCTGACTATTTAGTTGGGGGCACTGACCTCTTTTCCCTTAGATTGTGTCAGATTAAGAAAATGACAACAGCCAACACAACAACAGCCATCCAGTGTGAATCAAAAAAATTTTTTTTGT